TTTTGTTCATATCTCTTAACTGATTATTTTAAAATTCTTTTATAAAATGCACTTGCACTATCAAATAATTGTGTGTATTCTAAAATGGAACGTTATCATATCGCACGTAATTGTCATAATTAATAAAAAATAAAATGTAGAAAAATGTTTTTTTTATTTCGTATAATGAAATAAAATAGAGTTTCTTGTTAAAAGACTAATAAATGCACAAGAATTATAAAAAGTTTAAGTGTTAAAAAGAAATTTCAATAAATGACAGCAGTGGGGGGTGTAACATACAACAGGATATTGGTTTTCCTCAAGGAGAACAAGAAGAAAAAGAAAAAAAAAACAATTACTTTAATAAGTAATTGAAACTATAATTTATATTTACATCTCAAATTTCTCCTTTAAAGAACGCGTGTGTGCTAGTATGAAGCACCTGCGCTTTAGGTTACACTTCAGTCAAAAAAATATAAAGACAATGTTAATGACGCCGTCGTCTTTCTTTGCTGGTGACAATAATAATAATGACAAGTCTACTATATAGTTATTTGGATTTTTCTCTTTTTGTCTGTGGCTTAATATAGTCATGGTTGTGGTATTATTGTATTATATTGTATACTTTTAATAATATCATATTTCGTCTTATTATTACTAAAGAATTTAACTTACACGTTCCATATGATGGTATTCGATTGGCAGTCAAACCACCACTACCAACACCATCTTTAAAACTGAAGTTATTTTGCCTACAGTTTCTTTGTTCTGTTTTAAACAGAAAAAAAATCTCTTGAGTTTTTTATAAAAAGATGAAACTTTGTTATAAAAAGAAAAAAGTTTATTTTTTGATTTAATTTAAATTCATATTTAAATTATAATAAAACTTTAACACATGTTTGTTATATTTATTGTTTAGTGTAGTGTTTTTTTTATATGTCATTCATAAATTAATTAAGATAGTAGTGCTAAAAGAAAACACAAATTATTTGTAGTTTAATACTTTTTTTGGTGAAATGAGGGTACGTGCGAATGTGATTGTAGTCACAAATGTAGAAAAGTTATCTGTTCCGAAGCAACTTATTCTATAGAAAAGTTGTTCGATTCCAAGAAACTTTTTCTAAACAAAATATTTTCCATAAGAGAGCAACTTTTTTTAACTAGAAGTGAACTAGAACTAAAATAGAACTGAACTTGAACTAAAATAGAACTGAACTAGAACTGAACTAGAACTGAACTAAAACTGAACTAGAACTTAAATAAAACTGAACTAGAACTGAACTAGAACTAACCTAGAACTGAACTACAACTGAACTAGAACTGAAATAGAACTGAACTAGAACTGAACTAGAATTGAACTAGAACTGAACTAGAACTGAACTAGAACTGAACTAGAACTGAACTAGAACTGAACTAGAACTGAACTAGAACTGAACTAGAACTGAACTAGAACTGAACTAGAACTGAACTAGAACAGAACTAGAACAGAACTAGAACAGAACTAGAACTGAACTAGAACTGAACTAGAACTGAACTAGAACTGAACTAGAATTGAACTAGAACTGAACTAGAACTGAACTAGAACTGAACTAGAACTGAACTAGAACTGAACTAGAACTGAACTAGAACTGAACTAGAACTGAACTAGAACTGAACTAGAACTGAACTAGAACTGAACTAGAACTGAACTAGAACTGAACTAGAACTGAACTAGAACTGAACTAGAACTGAACTAGAACTGAACTAGAACTGAACTAGAACTGAACTAGAACTGAACTAGAACTGAACTAGAACTGAACTAGAACTGAACTAGAACTGAACTAGAACTGAACTAGAACTGAACTAGAAATAAACTAGAACTGAACTAGAACTAAACTAGAACTAGAACTGAACTAGAACTGAACTAGAACTGAACTAGAACTGAACTAGAACTGAACTAGAACTGAACTAGAACTGAACTAGAACTGAACTAGAACTGAACTAGAACTGAACTAGAACTGAACTAGAAATAAACTAGAACTGAACTAGAACTGAACTAGAACTGAACTAGAACTGATCTAGAACTGAACTAGAACTGAACTAGAACTGAACTAGAACTGAACTAGAAATAAACTAGAACTGAACTAAAACTGAACTAGAACTGAACTAGAACTGAACTAGAACTGAACTAGAACTGAACTAGAACTGAACTAGAACTGAACTAGAACTGAACTAGAACTGAACTAGAACTGAACTAGAACTGAACTAGAACTGAACTAGAACTGAACTAGAACTGAACTAGAACTGAACTAGAACTGAACTAGAACTGAACTAGAACTGAACTAGAACTGAACTAGAACTGAACTAGAACTGAACTAAAACTGAACTAGAACTGAACTAAAACTGAACTAGAACTGAACTAGAACTAGAACTGAACTAGAACTAGAACTGAACTAGAACTGAACTAGAACTGAACTAGAACAGAACTAGAACTGAACTAAAACTGAACTAAAACTGAACTAGAACTTAACTAGAACTGAACTAGAACTGAACTAGAACTGAACTAGAACTGAACTAGAACTGAACTAGAACTGAACTAGAACTGAACTAGAACTGAACTAGAACTGAACTAGAACTGAACTAGAACTGAACTAGAACTGAACTAGAACTGAACTAGAACTGAACTAGAACTGAACTAGAACTGAACTAGAACTGAACTAGAACTGAACTAGAACCGAACTAGAACTGAACTAGAACTGAACTAGAACACTAGAACTGAACTAGAACTGAACTAGAACTGAACTAGAACTGAACTAGAACTGAACTAGAACTGAACTAGAACTGAACTAGAACTGAACTAGAACTGAACTAGAACTGAACTAGAACGAACTAGAACTGAACTAGAACTGAACTAGAACTGAACTAGAACTGAACTAGAACTGAACTAGAACTGAACTAGAACTGAACTAGAACTGAACTAGAACTGAACTAGAACTAAACTAGAACTGAACTAGAACTGAACTAGAACTGAACTAGAACTGAACTAGAACTGAACTAGAACTAAACTAGAACTGAACTAGAACTGAACTAGAACTGAACTAGAACTGAACTAGAACTGAACTAGAAGAACTGAACTAGAACTGAAAGAACTGAACTAGAAAACTGAACTAGAACTGAACAACTGAAGACTGAACTAGACTTGAACTAGAATTGAACTGAACTAGAACTGAACTTGAACTAGAACTGAACTAGAACTGAACTAGAACTGAACTAGAACTGAACTAGAACTGTACTAGAACTGTACTAGAACTGAACTAGAACTGAACTAGAACTGAACTAGAACTGAACTAGAACTGAACTAGAACTGAACTAGAACTGAACTAGAACTGAACTAGAACTGAACTAGAACTGAACTAGAACTACTAGAACTGAACTAGAACTGAACTAGAACTGAACTAGAACTGAACTAGAACTGAACTAGAACTGAACTAGAACTGAACTAGAACTGAACTAGAACTGAACTAGAACTGAACTGGAACTGAACTAGAACTGAACTAGAACTGAACTAAAACTGAACTAGAACTAAACTAGAACTAAACTAGAACTAGAACTGAACTAGAACTGAACTAGAACTGAACTAGATCTGAACTAGAACTGAACTAGAACTGAACTAGAACTGAACTAGAACTGAACTAGAACTGAACTAGAACTGAACTAGAACTTAACTAGAACAGAACTAGAACTGAACTAGAACTGAACTAGAACTGAACTAGAACTGAACTAGAACTTAACTAGAACAGAACTAGAACTGAACTAGAACTGAACAAGAACTGAACTAGAACTGAACTGAACTAGAACTGAACTAGAACTAAGATAGAACTGAACTAGAACAGATAAAACCTCAAATATTCAATAACTATAAGTTGTCTAGACAACAAAGTATCAAGTGATCACAGCCCATCCCCATAAGTCCTCAAGTCAATTAGTCAATAAAACGAATTGCTGGACACACATTGAAACGCAGACCAATAACAATGACTTAAACAAAAAAAAACTTATATAAATAATTTAGTTTAATTGCATAAAAAAACAGAAACAACCCCTTTCTTTACAATTTAATTAAGTAAGTAATTAAAAAGAAACTAAAGACACCCAAAAGCCCAGTTGGAAATTGAGACGCAAAAGAACGAACAGATGTCAAACGACAAACTAAAATGTTCCATGACAATTCTAAAACAATGTGTCAAGTTTTCCTAAGGGTTTTCCTGTTGACGTTGGTGTTCATTGGAAAACATGAGACAATTTGTTTAGTATTTTGTTGGCTGCATGTTAGTTCATGCTTGGTTGCATCTATCTTTGCTGTTTTTCATCTGTTTGTCTCTTTAATTTCTTTTATTTATTTAAATGGCATTTAAATTGATAAAGTTTTTCTTTTTCTTCATTTGCTGGTATTTTGTTTTTTGTTGCTCTAACGTTTTATTAATAAGAAATCGACAACAAAGTGAAATTATTTGAAATTGTTTTTAAACAATCAAGGAAATTAAAAAGCAATAGAAGCAGCAACAACTAAATAATAATAAAATAAAAACGACGGACAGACAGAAAGACTGGCGAACTGACACTAATAACAAACGGCAATCAAATGTGCATTCATATGGAAGAATGTACATGAAATTAACTATTACAACAACTAAATAAATACATATTAAATATAAAAAAACCAAAAATGTTTTAAAAATATAACACGAAAGTAAAATCAGTTTTTTTATACATGTACGAAAAAATATGGTTTGTCTGAAAACGGAAATTAAAAGCAAAATCCAAAAAAAGTAACTAAATGAAAGAAAAAGTAATAATGATAAATTAAAATTTTTTGTTAAATGCATATAAAAAAATTAAACATTTTTTAACAGTGAATTGTTATTTTAATTATAGTCAACAACAGTTAACAAATTTGGCATTAATTAGTTTTGGCCATAATAAAGTTTCGTCGACAAAACACCATTTCCAAAAGAAATAGTATAAAATAATGAAATACTTACGAAATAAATCCTTTCGAACCAAATTTCTAGCACACAATACTGCAAAAGAAATAAGAAAGTATTTAATTAAAGAAACCATAATTTATTTAAAAAATTAAAAATACATACAAAATTCTTTTAGTGATTGATTGATTCAATTGATCATTATTGAAAAGAAAAACTTATTTAAAAGAAAAGGGGAGTTTAAAAAGAGATGTTCAAGACTGTTCATGACGGAACTAGAAGAGAACTAGAACTGAACTAGAACTGAACCAGAACTGAACTAGAACTGAACTAGAACTGAACTAGAACTGAACTAGAACTGAACTAGAACTGAACTAGAACTGAACTAGAACTGAACTAGAACTGAAATAGAACTGAACTAGAACTGAACTAGAACTGAAATAGAACTGAACTAGGACTGAGCTAGAACTGAGCTAGAACTGAACTAGAACTGAACTAGTACTGAACTAGAACTGAACTAGAACTGAACTAGAACTGAACTAGAACTGAACTAGAACTGAACTAGAACTGAACTAGAACTGAACTAGAACTGAACTAGAACTGAACTAGAACTGAAAAGAACTGAACTAGAACTGAACTAGAACTGAACTAGAACTGAACTAGAACTGAACTAGAACTGAACTAGAACTGAACTAGAACTGAACTAGAACTGAACTAGAACTGAACTAGAACTGAACTAGAACTGAACTAGAACTGAACTAGAACTGAACTAGAACTGAACTAAACTGAACTAGAACTGAACTAGAACTGAACTAGAACTGAACTAGAACTGAACTAGAACAAGAACTAGAACTGAACTGAACTAGAACTGAACTAGAACTGAAACTAGAACTGAACTAGAACTGAACTAGAACTGAACTGGAACTGAACTAGAACTGAACTAGAACTGAACTAGAACTGAACTAGAACTGAACTAGAACTGAACTAGAACTGAACTAGAACTGAACTAGAACTGAACTAGAACTGAACTAGAACTGAACTAGAACTGAACTAGAACTGAACTAGAACTGAACTAGAAACTAGAACTAGAAAAACTGAACTAGAACTGACTAGAACTGAACTAGAACTGAACTAGAAACTGACCTAGAACTGAACTAGAACTGACTAGAACTGAACTAGAACTGAACTAGAACTGAACTAGAACTGAACTAGAACTGAACTAGAACTGAACTAGAACTGAACTAGAACTGAACTAGAACTGAACTAGAACTGAACTAGAACTGACTAGAACTGAACTAGAACATAACTAGAACAAACTAGAACTGAACTAGAACTGAACTAGAACTGAAACTAGAACTGAACTAGAACTGAACTAGAACTGAACTAGAACTGAACTAGAACTGAACTAGAACTGAACTGACTAGAACTAGAACTGAACTAGAACTGAACTAGACTGAACTAGAACTGAACTAGAATGAACTAGAACTGAACTAGAACTGAACTAGAACTGAACTAGAACTGAACTAGAACTGAACTAGAACTGAACTAGAACTGAACTAGAACTGAACTAGAACTGAACTAGAACTGAACTAGAACTGAACTAGAACTGAACTAGAACTGAACTAGAACTGAACTAGAACTGAACTAGAACTGAACTAGAACTGAACTAGAACTGAACTAGAACTGAACTAGAACTGAACTAGAACTAGAACTGAACTAGAACTGAACTAGAACTGAACTAGAACCGAACTAGAACTGAACTAGAACCGAACCAGAACTGAACTAGAACTGAAATAGAACAAGAGCTAAACTAAAACTAAACTAATTAATTTTATTTAGAAATATAAAATTTTATGTTAGATCTTACGACTAAAAATAACACCTCTTTTGTATAATAAGAAAAATGGGTACAAAAACAAAGAAAAACAAACTTACTTGTTATACGAATTTTGTGTGCTCCATTGCGTCGAGGATATTCCAACTTATTCATAATTTAAATACAATTTATACACAAAAGAAAATAAAAATAAAATTAAAAAAATAAAAAAATATAGACAATTTTTTCGGTTAACAGTTGCAGTTTAAAACATTTTTGCTGCTGGCTGATGATGTTGTTGTTGTGTTGCTGTTGGAATTGTTGTTGTTGTTGTTATTACACAATAATATAAATTATTATAAAATATATTTCTATATAAACAAGAAATAAATTTCTTTTTTATATCAAATTAAATATTAAAGTGAGTGGTGGCAGGAAGGCATTAACAGCAGCAACATATTTGCATTGAAACTGTAATTAAAAAGAAAAAAAAGAAAATTAATTTATTAATGAAAATAACAAGGCTAGTTTTTTTTTAATAAAAATTAACAAGAATTTTTTCACTTAAGACCTTTAACAAAAAAAAACAAAACTGGACCCCCACCATCCAACTTTTTTTTTCAAATTAATTTTATTTTTTATTATACAATGACAAAAATTATTATGATCTCTTTATTGTTTAATGTGTAAAAAGGGTGGGTGATTGACTTGGAATAGAACTATGATCAACATATGGTGTGATCTTTTAGTTTTTTAAAGTGCTGGTGGTTGGTTTTTTTATTATCACTCATGGTGTTTTATTTTTGCTTAACAATATTAATAGGAAATATAGAAAAAAGAAAATATATATAATTAATGATAAAATAGAAAACGTCTTCTATTGTAATGAATTACTAATTAAGTTAATTATTTGTAATAATTAAGATAATTAAAAAATTATTAAAAATAATATAATTTATTAGAAAGTTAATAGTTTGTTTGTTTATATATCAGTTCTAGTTCAGTTCTAGTTCAGTTCTAGTTTAGTGCTAGTTTAGTTCTAGTTCAGTTCTAGTTCAGTTCTAGTTCTAGTTCAGTTCTAGTTTAGTTCTAGTTCAGTTCTAGTTCAGTTCTAGTTCAGTCCTAGTTCAGTCCTAATCCAGTTCTAGTTCAGTTCTAGTTCAGTTCTAGTTCAGTTCTAGTTCAGTTCTAGTTCAGTTCTAGTTCAGTTCTAGTTCAGTTCTAGTTCAGTTCTAGTTCAGTTCTAGTTCAGTTCTAGTTCAGTTCTAGTTCAGTTCTAGTTCAGTTCTAGTTCAGTTCTAGTTCAGTTCTAGTTCAGTTCTAGTTCAGTTCTAGTTCAGTTCTAGTTCAGTTCTAGTTCAGTTCTAGTTCAGTTCTAGTTCAGTTCTAGTTCAGTTCTAGTTCAGTTCTAGTTCAGTTCTAGTTCAGTTCTAGTTCAGTTTAGTCAGTTCTAGTTCAGTTCTAGTTCAGTTCTAGTTCAGTTCTAGTTCAGTTCTAGTTCAGTTCTAGTTCAGTTCTAGTTCAGTTCTAGTTCAGTTCTAGTTCAGTTCTAGTTCAGTTCTAGTTCAGTTCTAGTTCAGTTCTAGTTCAGTTCTAGTTCAGTTCTAGTTCAGTTCTAGTTCAGTTCTAGTTCAGTTCTAGTTCAGTTCTAGTTCAGTTCTAGTTCAGTTCAGTTCTAGTTCAGTTCTAGTTCAGTTCTAGTTCAGTTCTAGTTCAGTTCTAGTTCAGTTCTAGTTCAGTTCTAGTTCAGTTCTAGTTCAGTTCTAGTTCAGTTCTAGTTCAGTTCTAGTTCAGTTCTAGTTCAGTTCTAGTTCAGTTCTAGTTCAGTTCTAGTTCAGTTCTAGTTCAGTTCTAGTTCAGTTCTAGTTCAGTTCTAGTTCAGTTCTAGTTCTAGTTCAGTTCTAGTTCAGTTCTAGTTCAGTTCTAGTTCAGTTCTAGTTCAGTTCTAGTTGAGTTCTAGTTCAGTTCTAGTTCAGTTCTAGTTCAGTTCTAGTTCAGTTCTAGTTCAGTTCTAGTTCAGTTCTAGTTCAGTTCTAGTTCAGTTCTAGTTCAGTTCTAGTTCAGTTCTAGTTCAGTTCTAGTTCAGTTCTAGTTCAGTTCTAGTTCAGTTCTAGTTCAGTTCTAGTTCAGTTCTAGTTCAGTTCTAGTTCAGTTCTAGTTCAGTTCTAGTTCAGTCAGTTCTAGTTCAGTTCTAGTTCAGTTCTAGTTCAGTTCTAGTTCAGTTCTAGTTCAGTTCTAGTTCAGTTCAGTTCTAGTTCTAGTTCAGTTCTAGTTCTAGTTCAGTTCTAGTTCAGTTCTAGTTCAGTTCTAGTTCAGTTCTAGTTTAGTTCCATTGAAGTAAAAACAAAACATCGTCCGTAATAGATTTGCCACTACACAGAACAGAGTCCATTAATGGTTTTCAGTTTTCACTAAAATTTGCACTTTTTTGTTGCTTTTCTTATTAGTTTTAACTTTTTCTATAAAAAAAAACTCCAAATTTATCCCTGCACTAATTTATTTTATTAACATTTCTTTAAAAGTCCCTTATATTTAATAATTCCTCTTTAATTTAAAAAAATATTTTTGTCCATAAAACTGAATTATAAACATTTCACAATTGACCTTCTAAAAAGTTTCAACCCAAAACAAAAAGTAACACCTCGTTATTGTTTCAAAATAATTTTGGTAATTGCTTGAAAATTACCAACATATGCCAGGGCAGGTAATTGCAATTACTTTGTAAATTTAATTTCTATACATAAAAACTATTTAATTGCTTTTGTTTTTTTATAACTGCATTTTAAAACTTACATTTTGCATATTTATTTTTTTGTTTAACAGTGCTGTGGTATCTTTTTTTCATAAAAAAAACAAATTTAAAACCTTAAAACAATTTGTGTTTTGCTGTTTTGCATCCGTTTTATCACTTCTCTTTTGCACTGTTATTATTACTACATTTTTTGTTGTTTTTGTTATTTTATTGCTGCTGCTGCTTCTTCTTCTTGTTTTTATAATTCTCGTTGTTGTTGTATTTTAATTTACACACAAACTCTTTGACATACACTATCTCACTTATTTTATTCTTTTTAACATATTTTTTTATTGGTTTCTTTTCTTTTGCAAACAATTCACGCCTTAATTTTTTCCTTTTGACATTTACTAAACACAAAATTAATTAATTTATTTATATTTATTTACTTTAATAATAATTAATGATTTCTTTTTATCCCTTTAGACATTTATTTTTATATCTGTCTCGTTATTTTAGACCACGGCGTTGAATTTTTTTCATATTTTTTTTGTATTCTACTTTTGCACTGACGGCAGAACCGTAAAATTTTAATTTCGTTAAATTCTTTTTTTGTGTTAAATAATATTGAAAATATTATACATTTTGTGTTATTTAGCTTAAAGCTTTTGTTAACTTTATGTATATCTATTAATTTAAGTAATTGCAATTAATTTGTTCAAGTTAATTTGTTAAAATAACTTGTTAAATGCGTTCAACACCACAAAACTTCCGCCATATTGGAAAAAATTATTTGACAAACGGTGTCAACAGAACAGAGCCCTGCGCCGACAAATATTAACGGCGGCGGCGTCTAACACCAAATATGTCGGCGGTGGCTTAAAATCGACTATAAGCCGGCTAAAATTACGTTTAGTTTTTAAATTTTTTACAATTTTAAATATAAACGGAATCCGAGAGATCAGGGCCTAAATATATTATAGGTATAACTCTCCGGTCTTGAAAAAATTTATACCACATATAAAGCTTGCAATTCTATGTCCTGTGATATATGTCTTTTGGTCAATAAATGTATAGAGTAACAATATGGTTTTGCAACATTTTGTTGAGATACGAGTATATTAAACATAATTATGAACTTAAAAGCCGTATTCGGGGATTCAGTTGTATGGGGGCTTCGTCTACGATACCATAAAAGATCATGTGCCAAATTTCATTGAATTATCTCTAAAATTGCGACCTGTAGTTTGATTACAAGGATTACAAGCCCTATTGGGGGGCTCAGTTGTATGGGGGCTAGGTGAAATAATGGACCGATCTTAACCATTTTCAATAGGCTTCGTCCCTGGGACAATATAAGATCATGTACAAAATTTCATTGAATTATCTTCAAAATTGCGACCTGTAGTTTGATTACAAGGTTTACATGGACAGACGAATAGACGGACGGACATAGCTAAATCGACTCAGAAAATGATTCTGAGCCGATTGGTATACTTTAAGGTGGGTATAGGACCAATATTATTGTGCGTTACAAACATCAGCACAAACCCAATATACCCTCCCCACTAAAGTGGTGTAGGGTATAAAAATTCAACAATATAAAATTTATGACTTTCTTAACCCATTTTGTACCACTTTTTTTTTACCAGATTTTTAGTATTGTTCATACTATACTAAAAATCCCATCAACAAGGGCGGCTTTAATGATAGACCAAAAATTTGAGAAGATCTTTGCTATTAAATGCGACTGTAATGAACCACAGGCCATTCGAAATGAAATGATATTCAGTCAAATACACATTTTCACATTTCTTCTAAAGTTATTTCTCCATTCTTGATGTTACAGACGCAAGTACATCAAGTGATCGGAAGGAAAACCTTCAGTTTTTTTCTTTTATAAATGATTCATATAGTGTGACAACTCTAAGGGATCTAAAGTCGACATAAAGCTCACAGTGGTTAGTACCGGATCCAAGCATTGCAATTATGTAAATAACAAACACTAATATTTTGCCCAAACAACTTCTTTATAAGACGACAGCCTAGCCAGGTTATATAGTCTAGGTCCGTGAAGACATTCTCTACAGCAGTGCGATAAATTTGTATAAAAGGCGGCTTAACAATTGTTTCTTGTAAATATTCGGCCACCATAGTGTTTGGAGACAACAAGAGCATTCAATATTTCGGAAAAATCCGGTAGATTTCAATAAACACTAGATTTCAATAAACACGCCTGGAAAAACATTTTCATCATAGTTACTAACAATTTAACTAAATTAAACTCAACACTTGCCTGTTTCTTTGCACAATGACCCTCGGTATAGTAGTATAGCATACAATTTTATTAATTTCTAAGTTCAATTGTTAAAAATATTTTTTATTTAAAGAATATCATTTCTGTCTTATTCGATTTTTGCACAGTTTTTTTTTTTGCAAATAAAAAAAAAAAACAGAAAACAGTTTGGCGCGAAAAATTCTAGCAGAATTTCTTTTCGCAGTCGGCATAATTGACATCAACTGCACTTCCCATTTAAAATACACATGTTTGATACCCTAGTCCTTCACGGTATGACATACCAGCAATGTAAAAAGGTGCAGCTTGTTTGACGTCAACGAAGCTGTTTTGAAGTAAAAGCAGCGACTAGAATTAGGCGCGTAAACACGAAAATATCTGAGGCGAAGCAATATTCTTTGAACGTTGAGCCGGCCAAATTTCAATGAGCTATTGGAAAAAAATTATTTGACAAACGGTGTCAACATATTTGAAGTAGGCAGTAGAGACCTGCGTAAAAACAAATTTTTCGATGGCGGCTTAAAAACGCCTTTAATAGGGCACAATTGTAGAATTTGTTTTAAAAATTATTAAGTTAGTTAGTTTAGATAATTAGTTAGTTAGGTATTTAGTTAGTTATTTAGTTAGCTAATGTAGTTATTAGATTTTCCTATTTAACAACAATAATATGGTAGCTTGTTTTCATTATACTTTCTTGCACTATTGTGAATTGTTTATAAATAAACTACTGACAGTTACCAGATTTATAGATTTTAAGCACCACGAATATTAGCTTTAACTTTACTCTCTATATAGTGTGTAGTCATATATAAAAATAAATTAAAGTTCTTTTAAAGATAAAATTGAATAAAAAATTTACTAATTACACTCGTTTAGTCCTCTCTTTTTAAAAACATGAATTTTAACGCTTTTCCTTTTACCACTTAATATAATTCCATCTGGCAACTTTCCCTACACGTTCCGCTAAATCTATAAAAATATAAACAAAACATAAACAACTTTTGAAACACACACTTTGAAACTACGAAAATAGTAAAAAATCCTGAAATAAAAATGTCCATTACCCTAGAAATTAATAATAAACAATTAAACTCCAACGATAATCAATTAAATTTACATTATCTACCCGCTAAAATCCAAGGTGATGGCCCGGCTAATGTGGAAAAGTATTTCAATCCCTACACCCACAAGGATCAAGGCATTTTGTCAAATGCCTTGCGCGGTTATCCTTTACAGGGCGAAGTTTTAAAAGTACCCGAAGGCTTTAAAGGTTTAGTGGTGCAGGAGACGCGCAAACCCTTGGATGAGGAAGCCGATAGGCTGTTACGCATTAAAGGCACGTTTGAAGAGTTCACTTACTGGAATTATGATAAAATACCTTCAGTGGCGGATGGTTATAAACAGGCTTTGCAAATTTTAAAGTTGGCAGAGGAGGTAAGTGGGGTTTGTTGTTGGTAAATGGCTGGGCAATGTTGACGTATTTTTTTTTTTTCAGTTAGCTGAACCTTGCACGGAGGAGGACGTTCTGAAGGAAATGGAACAGTATAAAGCTAAGGCGTCTAAGAAAGAAAAATAGTTTTAAGGGATTTGGATTGTTAGAAGAGTAAAATTTTGTAATTAAATAAATATTTTCTATAAAAATTTAAACCCACTATTTCAATTTTGCCGAGAAATTTTGATAGTCTTGATTATAGTTTAGTATATAGTCTGGACTATAGTTTAGTCTATAGTCAGGATTATATTTTATCCTATAGTTGGACTATAGTTTAGTCTATAGTCCAACTATAATGTATTTTCTGGCGTATAGTTTTGTCTATAGTCAATAGTTTCGTCAATAGCAGGACTTTAATTTAGTCTATAGTCTGAACTATAGTTTAGTCTATAGTCTGGACTACAGTTAAGTTTAGTCTATGGTCTAGACTGTAGCTTTGCCTATAGTATGGACTATAGTTTTGTCTATATTCTACACTATTGTCTAGTCTGTAGTTTGGACTATAGTTTATTCTATAGTGAGGACTATAGTCTGAACTATAGTTTAGTCTATAGTCTGGACTATAGTTTTGTCTATATTCTGCACTATTGTCTAGTCTGTAGTCTGGACTATAGTATGGACTATAGCATAGTCTATAGTCTGAACTATAGTTTAGTCTATAGTCTGGACTATAGTTAGTCTATTGTTTGGACTATAGTTTAGTCTGTAGTCTGGACTATAGTTTCGTCCATAGTCTAGACTATAGTTTAGTCTATAGTTTGGATCATAGTTTAGACAATAGTCTGGACTATAGTTAGTCTATTGTTTGGACTATAGTTTCGTCCATAGTCTGGACTATAGTTTAGTCTATAGTCTGGACTATAGTTTAATCTATAGTCTGGACTATAGTTTAATCTATAGTCTGGACTATAGTTTAATCTATAGTCTGGATTATATTTTATCCTATAGTTGGACTATAGTTTAGTCTATAGTCCATCTATAATGTATTTTCTGGCGTATAGTTTTGTCTTTAGTCAATAGTTTAGTCTTTAGTATTGTCAATAGTAGGACTTTAATTTAGTCTATAGTCTGAACTATAGTTTAATCTATAGTCTGGACTATAGTTTTGTCTATATTCTGGACTATTGTCTAGTCCGTAGTTTGGACTATAGTTTATTCTATAGTGAGAACTATAGTCTATAGTCTGATCTATAGTTTAGTCTATAGTCTGGACTATAGTTTTGTCTATATTCTGCACTATTGTCTAGTCTGTAGTCTGGACTATAGTTTATTCTATAGTAAGGACTATAGCATAGTCTATAGTGTGAACTGTAGTTTAGTCTATAGTCTGGACTATAGTTTTGTCCATATTCTGGACTATAGTTTAGTCTATAGTCTGGACAATAGATTAGTCTACAGTCTGGACTATAGTTTAGTCTATGTATAGTCTATAGTCTGGACAATAGTTTAGTCTATAGTCTGGAATATAGTTTTGTCTATAGTCTGGACTATATTTTATCCTATAGTTGGACTATAGTATAGTCTATAGTCTGGATCATAGTTTAGTCTATAGTCTGGATCATAGTTTAGTCTATAGTATGGATCATAGTTTAGTCGATAGTCTGGACTATAGTTAGTCTATTGTTTGGACTATAGTTTCGTCCATAGTCTGGACTATAGTTTAGTCTATAGTCTGGACTATAGTTTCGTCCATAGTCTGGACTATAGTTTAGTCTATAGTTTGGACAATTGTTTAGTCTATAGTCTGTACTATAGTTTAGTCTATGTATAGCCTGGACTATAGTTTAGTCTATAGTCTGGACAATAGTTTAGTCTATAGTCTGGAATATAGTTTCGTCTATTGTCTGGACTATATTTTAAACTATGATCCAGACTATAGTATAGTCTATAGTCTGGATCATAGTTTAGTCTATAGTTTGGATCATAGTTTAGTCGATAGTCTGGACTATAGTTAGTCTATTGTTTGGACTATAGATTCGTCTATAGTCTGGACAGTAGTTTAGTCTATAGTTTGGACAATAGTTTAGTCTATAGTCTGGACTATAGTTAAGTCTATGTATAGTCTGGACTATAGTTTAGTCTATAGTCTGGACAATAGTTTAGTCTGTAGTTTGGAATATAGTTTTGTCTATAGTCTGGACTATATTTTATCCTATAGTTGGACTATAGTATAGTCTATAGTCTGGATCATAGTTTAGTCTATAGTCTGGATCATAGTTTAATCTATAGTCTGGATCATAGTTTCGTCCATAGTCTGGACTATAGTTTAGTCTATAGTCTGGACAATAGTTTAGTCTATAGTCTGGACTATAGTTTAGTATATGTATAGTCTGGACTATAGTTTAGTCTATAGTCTGGACAATAGTTTTGTCTATAGTCTGGACTATAGTATAGTCTATAGTGTGGACTATAGTTTAGTCTATAGTCTAGAATATAGTTTTGTCTACAGTCTGTACTATTGTTTAGTCTATAGTCTGGACCATAGTTTAGTCTATAGTCTGGACAGTTTAGTCTACAATCTCGACTATAGTCCATTGTCTGGACTATAGTTTACTCTATAGTTTGGTCTACAGTTTAGTCTGGTCTATATTATAATCAATACTCTACTCTAGCCTTAGCCATAACTTAATCTATTCCGTACTCTGATCTGTGGTTTGAACTATAGTTAGGTTTATTCTACGCTTTAAAACGGATCCTTTTTTGAAATAAAACTTCATTTAGGCGTTTTTTTTTTGTGTTCTGTTTCCAGTTTTATTTTGGGTTTTTTTCTGTTATTTTGGTTGTATTTTGGATTTATAATGACACAAACTATTGTTTAGTTTTTTTCTCTTTTTTTTTCAATTTAATAAAGACTTATTGTTTAAAGCCTTGTTTTTACTATTTTTTGTTTAGCAGTTATGTAAATAGGGTTTTGTTCAAAATTTCTTGACGTTTTTGTTTTTTTTGCGAAATCTCTTTACTTTGCTGTGCAGGCAAAAGTTAAAAAGATATGGCCGATAACATTAACATTTACAATGTAATGTAGGGTGTTGTTGTTGTTTTTTCAATGTTTTCAACTTTTTAAAGTTGTGGTTGTTTGCAAATTTTAATTGTTTTTTTATTAAATTAATATATATTTTGTTTTGTTAATATATGAGGGGTTTGGTTTTTTAATTATTATGTGGTTTTTGTTTTTTTTTGTACTTAATTAAATGGGGGGTTGTTTTTGTAGTATTTTTTTTTTGTTTATATTTTTTTAGTTTAAATATTATTAAGGGTTTTTTTTGTTTTTTGTTTTGTACTTATTTATAAATTATTAAGTTTTATTTTGGATTAGTAATGTTTATTATGAGTTTATGTTATTATTTTATTTTTTAAGTTAAAAAATAATAATACTTTTTTTTTATATTTAAAGTTAAAGTATTTTATTATTTTTGTTTATTTTTAAGTATTTTTCCCAATATTTTAATTATTTTTTTCTTTTTATTTATATTTTTAAAGAAAAAAATGTTTTTTTTTTAATTTTTAAATAACAACCTTTTCTTTTTTTAAACTTAACTTTTTATAAGTATATAGAGATATTTTGTTTAATTTAATTAATAAATTAATAATTATAGTAATTTGTTTTTTTTTGTGTTAATTCCCTTTTATTTTGTTTTATTAATTTAAAAAAAGAAACAATTTTAGTTTTTAAACAGTTAAAGTTTTTGTTGTTTAGTTTTTTTTTTAAATAAATAATAAATAAATGTTTAAGTTTAAAAATAATTTAATATCTTGTTGTTTTTTATATATAAAAAAAGAAATTTTAAAAAGGGAGTTATTAAGCTTTTGGTTTTTTTATTATAATTTTTACTCTAAGCTTTATTTATAATAAATATTAAGTGTTTTTTTATATATATATATATATTGAAAACAAATAACTTACTTTATATTTTATTTAAATATTTATTTTTTATTATAAATTATATTACAATAATTTCTGCTTAATTTTTGTCATTAACACACAAATTTATTTTTTTGTTTTTTATTATTTCCTAAGTAATTACTTTAAGCTTTTTTTCTTTAATAATTATTTTTAAAAATAATTTCTTTTTTTTTCTCAATTCACAATTTTTAGTAATTATTTGTTTTTTATATATTTTTTTTTGGATTTTTTTTTATATTTTTTTATTTTGAATAATTTAGATACTTTGAGCCCTAAAGTAAATAAATTATTCGTTTCATTTGTTTTTCTAATTACAACTAAATAAACTTAAAATTCTTTTTTTAATTTTAAAATAATTAATAAGAAATTGCAAATCTTCTTTTTATTTTATCTTAAGAAATTTATTTTTATAAACAATTATTGTTAAAAAAGATCATTGTAATTACTTTGTGGTTTTTCATAATAATATCAATTTCTTTTTATATATTGTTTAGTTTTTTTTTTTAGCACATGTATATAATTTTTTTGTTTTTTCTTTAATTTAATTAAATTGTTTAATGTTTTTTTTATAAAATAATTTATAAACAAATTAATTTATATAAAAAACAAAATCACATTAATTATAAAAAAAATAATTGTTAAAAAAATTTAAAAAAAAGTTAGAAAAAGTTTATAGGTTAAAGTTTAAGTTGAAAGTTGTTTATAAAGTTGTCGAAATACTGTTCAAAAGTCTTGACTATAAACTGGTTTGTGTCTTTACTAATAACTCTTTTATAAACTAGTATATAAATCTTGACTATTGTCTTCACTATGACTGATCTTTAGTCTCCATTATAGATGGATTTACAGTCTCGACTAAGACTGATCTTGCTAGTTGTCTAAATAATATACTATTTTCTCGACTATGGATGGGTTTAGGGTCTTAAATATAGTCTTGGCTATAGACTGATCTATAGTATCGACTTTAGACTGATCTATAGTTTCGACTATAGACTGATGTGAAGTCTCGACTACAGAATTGACTATTGTTGTTGTTATCTTAACTATGTATTGATCTATCATCTTGATTATAGACTGTTCCATAGTCTCAACTATAGACTGTTCTATAGTCTCAACTATAGACTGATCTATAGTCTCAACTACTGACTGATTTACAGTGTAGACTATATATAGACTTATCTAATCTCAACTACAGACTGATCTATAGTCTCAACTATAGACTGTTCTATGGTCTCAACTATAGACTGATTTATAGTCTCAATTATAGACTGATCTTAACTATATACTGATTTATAGTCTGAACTATACACTAATCTATAGTATCAACTATAGACTGATCTATAGTCTCAACTATAGACTGATCTATAGTCTCAACTATAGACTGATCTATAGTCTCAACTATAGACTGATTTATAGTCTCAACTATATACTGATCTATAGTTTCAACTATAGACTGATCTATAGTTTCAACTATAGACTGATCTATAGTCTCAACTATAGACTGATCTATAGTCTCAACTATAGACTGATCTATAGTCTCAACTATACACTGATCTATAGTCTCAACTATAGACTGATCTATAGTCTCAACTAAAGACTGATCTATAGTCTCAATTATAGACTGATCTATAGTCTCAACTATAGACTTTTCTATAGTCTCAACTATAGACTGATCTATAGTCTCAACTATAGACTGATCTATAGTCTCAACTATTAACTGATCTATAGTCTCAACTATAGACTGATCTATAGTCTCAACTATATACTGATCTATAGTTTTAACTATAGACTGATCTATAGTCTCAACTATAGACTAATCTATAGTCTCAACTATAGACTGATCTATAGTCTCAACTAGAGACTGATCTATAGTCTCAACTATACACTGATCTATAGTCTCAACTATAGACTGATCTATAGTCTCAACTATAGACTTTTCTATAGTCTCAACTATAGACTGATCTATAGTCTCAACTATAGACTTTTCTATAGTCTCAACTATAGACTGATCTATAGTCTCAACTATAGACTGATCTATAGTCTCAACTATAGACTGATCTACAGTATAGACTATATATAGACTTATCTAGTCTCAACTACAGACTGATATATAGTCTCAACTATTCTATGGTCTCAACTATAGACTGATCTATAGTCTCAACTATAGACTGATCTATAGTCTCAACTATAGACTGATCTATAGTCTCAACTATAGACTGATCTATAGTTTCAACTATAGACTGATCTATAGTTTCAATTATAGACTGATCTATAGTCTCAACATACACTGATCTATAGTCTCAACTATAGACTGATCTAAATTCTTAACTATAGACTGATCTATAGTCTCAACTATAGACTGATCTATAGTCTCAACTATAGACTGATTTATATTCTCAACTATAGACTGATCTATAGTCTCAACTATACTGTGATTTATAGTCTTGACTATAGACTGATCTATAGTCTTGACTATAGACTGATCTATAGTCTCAACTATAGACTGATCTATAGTCTTGACTAAAGACTGATCTATAGTATTGACTAAAGACTGATCTGTAGTCTCAACTATAGACTGATCTAAAGTCTTGACAATATACTATAGACTGATCTATAGTCGTAACTATAGACTGATCTATAGTCGTAACTATAAACTGATCTATAGTCTCAACTATAGACTGATCTTTATTCTTGATTTCAGACTGATCTATAGTAGTCACTTTAGACTGATCTATAGTCTTAACTATAGTCCATTATCTCCTAATCTATAGCCTTGAATGTTAACACAACTATAGGTTATTGCAAAATCTTGATCTTTTCCTTTCACTAGCCCTCTCAACCCTTTAACCTTTTTTTGTGTATAGCCATTTTACTTTTGGAGTTAATGTTATTATTTTATTTGTGTTATTTATTTGCGCCATTTTTAAAACAAAAAAATTTGTGCATAATGTAGGAAACTTATTAGTTAGCATAGGTATTCATTTGTTAGAATAAAAAAAAAAAGTTAATAATACTGGTTTTTGTGTTAAAGAGCTATTTTTGTGTTTTTTTTTTTAATTGTATACCTTTCTTTTTAAAACAAAAACATACAAAAAAAATATTAAGAAATACATATTAATAATTATGTATAAAAAAGAACGTTAAATTAAATTAGTTTTAATAATAATAAAAAAAAAAATAAATAATAATATGAGTTTTTTTTTCATACTTATTAAACAAATTAGATTTGATAGAAGTAGAAGAAGAAAAACAATTGTAGTTAGAGTGTTATTAAAAATTGTGTTTTAAGACTTAAACAGGTACTTCTTTGAAGTATTATATTTTTTTAAAAATTAATGGTTTTTTTTGTGTTACTTAAAGTTTGCTGGTTAAACTATATACAATAAAAACTTAAATGATTAATAATATAAAAAGAAATAAACTAAACAAAAACTAATTACAAAAACCCTACAAATGCTTAATGCAGAAAAAAGTTTTATATAAAAAAAACTTAAATTCAAAACTAAAATAATAAATTCTTAGTTTTAAGCCCCTTTTTAAGTTATTTTCTTGTTTTGGAAAAGGACCTTTAAAAGAGTTTTCCGTTTTGTTTTAATTACATTTTTTAGAATTTCTTGTTTTCTTTTAATAATAAATATTACCAAAGTTATGTTGCTTTTTTAGAGGAAACGTTGTTTTAAAGGGATCATCCTCATCGGCCAAATAGTCACATTTGTAGGAGGAATAGCTATTGGCTATTGGTTGTTTAAGTTCCTTATAGGTTTTATTATTATAATATTTAAGATCCCATTCATATTGATTTTTATAGGTTTGTTGTTGTTGTTGCTGCTGCTGCCATTTGTTGTTGTATGTAGAAGAAAAATTATCATAGTAATCATTATAGTTAAGCTGGTTTTGCTGCTGCTGATGTTGTTGTTGTTGTTGCTTTTGTTGCTGCTTTTTGGATTTGGCTTGTTTTTTATTGTTTTGTAATCCAGCCTCCCAATGTCAAACTTGCGGTTTATGTTTCCCACCACATAGGCCGCATGAAATACCAATTAAATGACAAACTCTTAAGGGAGGATAACACCATAGACAGGGCACCAATAAAGATAATAAAGTTAAACCGATCCATCTTAAAGAAAAAAATAGAGAAAAATGGAGAAATATTAAAATGATGTAAAGAGTCAAACTATGGTCAAAACCAAAGATGGAAATCAGTCAAGACAAAAGAGCGATATAAAGCCTAGTTTATAGTTTAGTCTATAGTCTAGTTTATAGTCTAGTCTATAATCTAGTCTATAGTCTAGTCTAGCCTATAGTCTATTCTACAGTCTAGTCTATAGTTTAGTCTATAGTCTAGTCTATAGTCTAGTCTATAGTCTAGCCTATAGTCTAGTCTATAGTCTAGTCTATAGTCTAGCCTATAGTCTAGTCTATAGTCTAGTCTATAGTCTAGCCTATAGTCTAGCCTATAGTCTAGCCTATAGTCTAGTCTGTAGTCTAGTCTATAGTCTAGTCTATAGTCTAGTCTATAGTCTAGTCTATAGTCTAGTCTATAGTCTAGTCTATAGTCTAGACTATAGTCTAGTCTATAGTCTAGACTATAGTCTAGTCTATAGTCTAGTCTATAGTCTAGTCTATAGTCTAGTCTATAGTCTAGTCTATAGTCTAGTCTATAGTCTAGTCTATAGTCTAGTCTATAGTCTAGTCTATAGTCTAGTCTATAGTCTAGTCTATAGTCTAGTCTATAGTCTAGTATATAGTCTAGTCTATAGTCTAGTCTATAGTCTAGTCTATAGTCTAGTCTATAGTCTAGCCTATAGTCTAGCCTATAGTCTAGCCTATAGTCTAGCCTATAGTCTAGTCTGTAGTCTAGTCTATAGTCTAGTATATAGTCTAGTCTATAGTCTAGTCTATAGTCTAGTCTATAGTCTAGTCTATAGTCTAGTCTATAGTCTAGTCTATAGTCTAGTCTATAGTCTAGTCTATAGTCTAGTCTATAGTCTAGTCTATAGTCTAGTCTATAGTCTAGTCTATAGTATAGTCTATAGCCTAGTCTATAGTCTAGTCTAGTCTATAGTCTAGTCTAGTCTATAGTCTAGTCTATAGTCTAGTCTATAGTCTAGTCTATAGTCTCTATAGTCTAGTCTATAGTCTAGTCTATAGTCTAGTCTATAGTCTAGTCTATAGTCTAGTCTATAGTCTAGTCTATAGTCTAGTCTATATCTAGTCTAGTCTATAGTCTAGTCTATAGTCTAGTCTATAGTCTAGTCTATAGTCTAGTCTATAGTCTAGTCTATAGTCTATAGTCTAGTCTTTAGTCTAGTCTATAGTCTAGTCTATAGTCTAGTCTATAGTCTAGTCTATAGTCTAGTCTATAGTCTAGTCTATAGTCTAGTCTATAGTCTAGTCTATAGTCTAGTCTATAGTCTAGTCTATAGTCTAGTCTATAGTCTAGTCTATAGTCTAGTCTATAGTCTAGTCTATAGTCTAGTCTATAGTCTAGTCTATAGTCTAGTCTATAGTCTAGTCTATAGTCTAGTCTATAGTCTAGTCTATAGTCTAGTCTATACTCTAGTCTATAGTCTAGTCTATAGTCTAGTCTATAGTCTAGTCTATAGTCTAGTCTATAGTCTAGTCTATAATCTAGTCTATAGTGTAGTCTAGTCTATAGTCTAGTCTATAGTCTAGTCTATAGTCTAGTCTATACTCTAGTCTATAGTCTAGTCTATAGTCTAGTCTATAGTCTAGTCTATAGTCTAGTCTATAGTCTAGTCTATAGTCTAGTCTTATAGTCTAGTCTATAGTCTAGTCTAGCTAGTCATAGTCTAGTCTAGTCTAGTCTATACTCTAGTCTAAAGTCTAGTCTACAGTCTAGTCTATAGTCTAGTCTATAGTCTAGTCTATAGTCTAGTCTATAGTCTAGTCTATAGTCTAGTCTATAGTCTAGTCTATAGTCTAGTCTATAGTCTAGTCTATAGTCTAGTCTATAGTCTAGTCTATAGTCTAGTCTATAGTCTAGGTCTATAGTCTAGTCTATAGTCTAGTCTATAGTCTAGTCTATAGTCTAGTCTATAGTCCAGTCTATAGTGTAGTCTATAGTCTAGTCTATAGTCTAGTCTATAGTCTAGTCTATTGTCTAGTCTATAGTCTAGTCTACAGTCTAGTCTATAGTCTAGTCTATAGTATAGTCTATAGTCTAGCCTATAGGTCTAGTCTATAGTCTAGTCTATAGTCTAGTCTATAGTCTAGTCTATAGTCTAGTCTATAGTCTAGTATAGTCTAGTCTAGTCTAGTCTAGTCTAGACTTTATTCTAGTCTATAGTCTAGTGTATAGTCTAGTCTCTATTATCATTCCTCTTACCTTTTAGTGCACCCATCCTCATTAACACACTCACACGGATGCTGTGGTGTCTCACCATCTGAATCACTCATAAAATGATAAACCATACAGCGAGCACAACCTATACCCGATATACACTCCAAACCCGAACGAAAACAATCCGGAGCAAACTCACACGCACCCCTACGATTACAATCATCAGCATAGAGTTCATGACAATAACGACAACGTGTCAGTTGCTGGGAGGACTGTGATGGTTTCTGTAATTTTTGCTTGAGTATATCAATATCGGGATCTTTGATAATACCACCGGAAATGGGTGAAGATTGTGAGACAAGACAGTGGGAAGCAGCTTCAATGGCATTGAGTTTTTTCAGAGTAGTTATAGAATCACAACGTGCACTTAGGACTTGAGCGGCTACAGGTTGATCTACCACTGGATAATTATAGTCATGAACCTAGGGGGAGTTAATAAAAATAAGAAGAAGAAGTATTATTAAACAATAAATTTTGTATTATTGTTGTATTATTAAAAATCTTACAGCTGTCAAAGTAACATAGGAATAGTTTTCACTAGGAGCAATTGCGGCTGGTGTTGTTTCAGTTGTTGCTGCTGTTGTATTGTTACTGATGGTGGTTGTCGTAGTGTTGTTGGTTGTATTAGCACTGCCTGGTGGAGGTGTTTGCATGCAAGAGTTTTCACCCGATATGTAATGAATTTTTGCAATTTCCTTATCTTTTTTATCGTCATTAAATCTTTCACCACGATCTTTTAAGCTGACTGTAAGATGTGTTGAAAAGTGGGAAGGAAAATATTAGAATAACTTTATATTCTAGAGAATAGAAGAAATTATAGTCTAGGTTTTAGTTCAAACTATAGTTAAGACTATAGAATGAACTCTAATCCAGTCTTTAGACTAAACTATATACTAGACTATAAACTTGGCTATAAACTGGACTATAAATTAGATTAAAGACTATTCTATGAGCTAGACTATAGATTAAACTATAGACTTGACTATAGAATAGTTTAGAGACTAGACTATAGACTAAAATATAGACAAGACTAGATTATGGACTAGACTATAGACTAAACTATAAACTAGTCTAATATAATCTATAGTCTATACTAGACAAATTTTCTAAAGAAAACTTATATTTGAACAAAATTGTTTTACATTTTCTTTTAACACTTTAACTTTTTATTAATTTTTATTTTATTTATTTTATGTTATAACATACCATGACTATTTTCACTGCCCTCTGGACTGGAATGACCTTTTTGTTTATTATCAATTGATTCACAGGGCAAGTCTAAAGTCTTTATAAATAGAAAAATGAAACACACAAAATTGGGTTACAACAAAAATAACAATAAAAAAAAAAACACAGAGAAAAGAAAAAACAACTCACCATAAAAACATCATCTTCACCAACCGAATCGTATTTGGTTAATGGTGGACATATAATGGAAGGATTTGCTTTGGCCATGCCATCAATTAATTCATTGTATGCTCGCAGAATGCCTTTATCAAAAGCACGCGCATCAGCAGCAGTTTGAAAGGTAAGACCATTTCTTTGTTTACCAGCACGCCAATGATGAAATGTAGGCATAACTTTATAATATTTTAGATCACGGTTTATGACACAGCTTAATATAACCTAGAGGGGAAAAGGATACAATTAATTTGTGTTTAATATTATAAATATCGTTTGAAAAAAGAAAACTTACACTTTGATCTGATATTCTTTGACCATATATGATGTATTCATGTCCGGTAGCACCAGGGGATAGTCTAGCTCGTTTACGTATTGAAACATTAGCTAGACCACCCCCGGCCAGTGGTAGCCAACCTTCAGTGCTTTCGTCTCTGGTCATAACCTGTGCTCTTACTGTTACTAGAAAATCGCTAGAAAAATACCAAAAACAAAATACCTATTAGACAATGTTTGAAAGCTAAAGGACCAAAACTTTTGACTAAAGAAAAACTCCTTTGTACATATAAATATCCTATTTACCCCCTTTTAAGACAAACCTCTATTTATAGTAGTTTTTATTACATTTATAACAATGCGAAAAAAGAAAACAAACTTGTGACATACAAACATAAATTATAGTTTTTCATTCATCTAACAATAAGTACGAAAACTAACGAAAAGGACTTTTGTTGCATATTTGGTTCGTTTTTTAAATCATAAAACTATTCAACATTTCTTTTTCATTCATAGAAAACTCGCCTGTCAGATATTCGCCTGATATTTAATGTCTTTGTTTTTGCAGGAAGAGCGAAAACAAAATAGAATTTGCAAAAAGGGTTGCCAATACGTGAAAATAAGGAATGTAACCTTCGAATTATGAACAAGACTGTAGTGTTGAGAAGACTATAGATAAGACTGTACACTAGAAGACAAACTAGACTATGGACTACACTATGAACTAGACTATAGGCTAGAATATCGACTAGATTATAGACTAGCCTATAGACTAGATAAGAGACTGGACTATAGACTAGGCTATAGACTAGGCTCTAGACTAGACCATAGAATAGTCTACACTATAGATTAGACTATAGATTAGACTATATTTAGACTATAGATTAGACTATAGTTTAGACGATAGATTAGACTATAGTTTTGCCTGTAGAGGACTATAGACTAGAATATAGACTAGACTATAGACTAGGGTATAGACTAGACTACATATTACACTATTGTTTAGACTATAGATTAGACTATAGATTAGACTATAGTTTAGACTATAGTTTAGACTATAGTTTAGACTATAGATTAGACAATAGTTTAGACTATAGATTATACTATAGTTTAAACTAAAGATTAAACTATAGTTTTGACTATAGATTAAACTATAGTTAAAACCGTAGACTAGAATATAGACTAGACTATAGTTTAGACTGTAGACTATACTACAGACTAGACCATAGACTAGACTATAGACTAGACTGTAGACTAGAATATAGACTAGACCATAGACTAGACTATAAACTACACTATAGACTACACTATAGACTAGACTATAGACTAGACTATAAACTATAGACTAGACTATAGACTACACTATAGACTACACTATAGACTAGACTAAAGACTAGACTATAGACTATAGACTAGACTATAGACGAGACTATAGACTAGACTATAGACTAGACTATAGACTAGACTATAGACTAGACTATAGACTAGACTATAGACTAGACTATAGACTAGACTATAGACTAGACTAGACTATAGACTAGACTAGACTAGACTAGACTATAGACTAGACTATAGACTAGACTATAGACTAGACTATAGACTAGACTATAGACTAGACTATAGACTAGACTATAGACTAGACTATAGACTAGACTATAGACTAGACTATAGACTAGACTATAGACTAGACTATAGACTAGACTATAGACTAGACTATAGACTAGACTATAGACTAGACTATAGACTAGACTATAGATTGGACTATAGACTAGACTATAGACTAGACTATAGATTGGACTATAGACTAGACTATAGACTAGACTATAGATTGGACTATAGACTAGACTATAGACTAGACTATAGACTAGACTATAGACTAGACTATAGACTAGACTATAGACTAGACTATAGACTAGACTATAGACTAGACTATAGACTAGACTATAGACTAGACTATAGACTAGACTATAGACTAGACTATAGACTAGACTATAGACTAGACTATAGACTAGACTATAGACTAGACTATAGACTAGACTATAGACTAGACTATAGACTAGACTATAGACTAGACTATAGACTAGACTATAGACTAGACTATAGACTAGACTATAGACTAGACTATAGACTAGACTATAGACTAGACTATAGACTAGACTATAGACTAGACTATAGACTAGACTATAGACCAGACTATAGACCAGACTATAGACTAGACTATATACTAGACTATAGGCTAATCTATAGTCTATAGTAGGATAAGATTACACTAGATTATAGACTTTAAGTCCTTAAAAAAATGTTCCCCTTTATTTAAAAAATTCCCACAAATTTGGCAACTCTTTGAAATGATTTAATATTGGTTAAATTTTCAATACTACACACGAAAAAATAACAAATAATAAAACAACATAAACAAATCTAAATAAAACATTTATTAAAAAATATCTTAAAAATCTATAAAATTATTAAAACGAAAAAAAAACATGTCCTAAGACAACTAAAAATTAGTATCACCTACGAATTTTTCTAATAAAAGAGAAATACGAAAGAGAGAACAAGATACTAACAGCAACAACAACAACAAATATCCCATGAATATAGCAGAATATAAAAAAAAGCATTTTGATTATACATATGCAACAAAAAAAAATGAAATAAAATACAACAACAAAACTGTATGTATACTCCCCTAAATTTAAGTTTTCGTTGTTGTTGTTAAATAAAATATGTAATTAACAAACAATTAAAAAAAAAAAAAAACAAGAAGGCAATAAAAAAATTCATTAAATTAAACAAGTTGTATTGTAATTGATAATAATATTCATTCAACATTTCATTTCAATAGTCAACAATTTTTTTTTGCTTCTATTTTATCTTTTGTGTGTGAGAGATATTCAGAAAAAAACTGTGTATAGTAATTTGCCGTTATGAATGAACACACTTTTGGCAAGTGCCATTTCTCTCTCTTGTTGTCTCTTTTAATGCTATTTTTCTTTGACAGTGCTTATTCTCGCTCTCTCTACCCACCACTTAGCAATTGTAGATATTTTGTGTTGCCAGATGTGGAGGATTTGTTAAGGTAGTGGGGATTTAAAACGAAACTATATTTTAAATTGACTATAACTTAAAAACTGTCCTTATTTGGGCGCGTTGTAAGTCGGGTATACGTTGCCTTAATGGTAATTTACCGCTAACTGTTCAACTGTAAAAAAAAACTTGTGTATGCTTGATTACAAAGAGAATTTTGATCTGTTTTCCATTGGTATTTTAATTGATCTTTAAATCTGACAAGAGGTCATCTAAAATCAATCAAAATGAACGAATAAGTCACCTATATAATTCCTTATAGATATGTTATATAGAGAATATTGTTCTCTTTAAAACAAACATCCCGTAGGCTCTTTTTGGTATACTTAATCAATACGATTTCCTTGTAACTCTTTAGCGGTGGATTATCTTGTATCAAAGCCATACTTTTGACTTTTTTATAATTATTTTCTTTTTCTATAATTCTGTATCATATTTTTCCATATAAAGCATTACATTCCTTTTAGAAAACCTCACTTTCTTTTTTATTTTACAGTTCGAAGTCGAGAAAATACTCTGATTATGTACTTCTCGATGATCTTTAAGAACTTTGGCGATTCTTCGTCATAATTAATATTAGAAAAGAGAGCGCGTTGAAGATGCGGCATCTTTATATTAGTATAAACATATTCTGAATATCTATTTTGGTCCTTATATCATTATCGGATTCCAGAGAGTGTAAATGAGAATTAAAGTAGAATAAATATAGAAACTTTTGAGCCTTTTTTAAAAATCATTTATTATTAATATTTTAAGCAAAGTGATCCTCCCAGTCTCTAAATTTTGATATTTACATTATTTTTGAACATAAATTTAAGAGTTTCAATTTCCCTATAAACGTTCGGCTCTGAGCCGACTTTAAGCCGCCGCGAATTATTTTGGATCAGCCGTCGCCGCCGACAATTTTAAGTCGACTTCGCCCTCTGTTGGAAAGAGGTACATATTTTTAGAGCCTCTGGTGTAGAGTAGCTGAATTAATTTAAGCTAAGTTTAGCCAATTTCTATTTATTTTACTTCAACGAAGATTTAATGCAATGAGGTAGGGTTCTATAGTTGAAACGAAAAGTCGACTTTTCGACTTTTTTCATTTAGTTAAAAGTCGACTTTTCGACTTCTCGACTTTTTGCATTTTATGAAAAGTCGATTTTTCGACTTTTTTCATTTAATTAAAAGTCGACTTTTAGACTTTTCGACTATAAGTATTTTATAAATAGTCGACTTTTCGATTTTTTCCGACTTTTTGATTTTTTCGACTTTTTGACTATTTTCGACTTTTTTTCGACTATTTTTTTACTTTTTTCGAGTTTTTCCGACTATTGTAGAGTTTTTGACTTTTTTTCCACTTTTTTAAGATTTTCGACTATTTTTGACTTGTTTCTACAATTTTCAATTTTCGACTTTTTCCCACTTTTCGACTTATCGACTTTTTTCGACTTTTATTAACAAAGTCGACTTTTCGACTTTTTTCACAGACCATAGTCGAGTTATCGACTTTTTTGGAACAAAATAGTCGACTTCGACTTTTCGAATTTTTCGACAAAAAGTCTATTGTTCGGTTATTCGAAAGTCGATTTATATGAAGATACTGTTGAGGTATATTGTAAGTAGTTTATTAATAGAAACTTACCAGAAGTTCATGTTGAGGGTATGAACCCAGACTATAATTAACATGTAATGCGTTAACCACTTAACCTACTGCAACCTCGCACAACTCAGTAATTTTATATATTTCAAATTCCAACTTAAAATTCCAAACTAACCTACATCAATCTGGCTACTCTCTATTATATCTATGTAAATTGCTATGTTTAAGTGTATTTGCTACCAACAAAAAAAAAATTGTATCTAAAAAATTCTTTTGCATACAAAAAACTAAAAAAAAAGTAAAAGTAGTTTTTTGACCAAATTTGTTAAAAACTATTTCACTTTTAGAAACTTCTACGAAATACATTTAAACACTTACCTTTCATGTCCTTCTGTCATGATTTGTAATCAGAAAGATTCTAATATAGAAGCGTATGGTGTCGGTGGTCAATTTCACCATGTTTAAAATATTCAGACATGCAGAATTGCACAAACTCTAGGCTGGACAACACCACGGGGTTTTCTTCTTTCAAAAAATCTGATGACAACAACGACGACGACGGCAACAACGCTCCTCCTGTTTTAATGAACCAAGTATTCTGCTAATAGTTTTGTGCTTTTTTTACTTCTGCTTATTTTATTCTTACGTTTCTTTTTTGTTTTATTCTTTTTTTTTTTGTATTTTTTTGGGTAGTGAATTTTTTATATAATTTTTATTTCTTTATTACATTTAAGTTTGCTTATTAACACTAGATTTTTGTAAAAAAAACAGATTAATTTATTATTTAGTTTTATTACCAACACTTTTATTTAGTTTTTGTTTTATTTTTTATATAAGTTTTTATACACAAAAGCTGATTTTAAAAGAAACAAGTAAAATAAAAACTTAAAAATTGTAGGCGAGATTTTTAAGAATTGTAGGAGCAGAACAGAATAATAGTGGAGAAACATACAAATAAATATGCTTTGAATACAAATACAATAACAGCAACAACATCAACCAGAGCGAAAATATGATTTTTTGGGCGATTTCTGCTGTTTCTGTCTGTAGCTGTTTCGTTTTTAAGGGTTGCCATATTAGAGATTTTGATAAATATACAAGTTTTGAGTTATTTAAAAAAAAATCAAGAAAATAAAAATAAATAAGTTTCCTTTTATCTTATGACTTCAAATATATATGTATATGTCTTCATAAGAGTTGGTTGATTCAGTATGTCCATTCACACAGTGTCCAATAATTATACCCGTGAGATGCCTAAGCTTACTAAAAGACAAGAGAGTCCTAGCTCTATCATTTGTAAGAGTGGGCCAGGGCAGTCAGGATATTCCACAATTGGTGATATTCGAATACCAGGGTTTCGTCTCACTTAAAACCCACTCATCTATGAATTACTATAAGGCCACCAGAGCAGTATGAATAAATCATTGCGTAAGAGTTAAGTCTAGGGGCGTCCCTTTGATTGCGCATTCATAATATATTTAATTTCCCCGGATGCTCATATGCCCTGAGATCCATATCAACTCAACATGATGTTGTGTCAGTTATGACAGTAATTGGATACAATTGAGAAGACATTTCGTCTTTATAACTTTGGAGTTAAGATCCTTCATTTTATAGATTCAGTTCCCAGATTATTCTCGCGGCTGAATCGTGGCATATATCTCTTCCTTAACGTCCTATTTAAATTCAGTGTAGGCATGATTGGCCTGCGTAGCTTCTGTTTGATTGTGCTGTAACCAATACGACCAAGGAACAAATTACGGCATACGATCGAAATCTCAATAGAATCTAAATGGAGATTTCGATCGATATCGTATGCCATAATTTGGGCCCAGGCTTCAGCCCGTTCGACTGCATAAGTCGTGGAGAAAGGGCAGTTATATTTAGCATCGCTTGAAGTTTGGAGTTCATAGAGCTAGTGATTGCAAGACATGCTAATCTTTGTACCTTGTTTAGAATAGAGACATGAGTATAGGTATCCACCGCCTCGTAGGTCAGAATAAGTCTCATGACCGCGTTGCACATACAGTGTACAATGTATGGTTGAATACACCATCTTTTTCCAAAGGTTTTCTTACATATATCGAAGACACATAATGCCTTCTTCCTTCGACTCTCAGCATTACGTTTCCACGAGAGCTTAGAATGTAAAATTAAGGCAAGATACTTGGCTTCGCTTGAGGTATTCAGAATGGTAACATCCAATTGTAGGGGTCTGAATTCTGAGATTTTGAACGGTGAAGAGAACCAGTAAGGCTTTGGCAGTTTTAGTTCATATCTAGTTCTAGTATCGATCGATCGATAGATCTATATATATATCTATCTATCTATCTATTTATCTATCTATCTATCTATCTATCTATCTATCTATCTATCTATCTATCTATCTATCTATCTATCTATCTATCTATCTATCTATCTATCTATCTATCTATCTATCTATCTATCTATCTATCTATCTATCTATCTATCTATCTATTTATCTATCTATCTATCTATCTATCTATCTATCTATCTATCTATCTATCTATCTATCTATCTATCTATCTATCTATCTATCTATCTATCTATCTATCTATCTATCTATCTATCTATCTATCTATCTATCTATCTATCTATCTATCTATCTATCTATCTATCTATCTATCTATCTAGTTAGTTAGTTAGTTAGTTTGAAAGGAGGATGTATATACATCAAATCCGAAGAAATACACCTAGGCCTCTATCGGGCCTGTTGTGCGCTCCTTAACCAGTGCCTCAGGTGGGAATCGAACCCACCACCTCCGGTCTACCAGACTAGAACACTAACCACTAACCTACCGGAGGCCACATCTATCTATCTATCTATCTATCTATCTATCTATCTATCTATCTATCTATCTATCTATCTATCTATCTATCTATCTATCTATCTATCTATCTATCTATCTATCTATCTATCTATCTATCTATCTATCTATCTATCTATCTATCTATCTATCTATCTATCTATCTATCTATCTATCTATCTATCTATCTATCTATCTATCTATCTATCTATCTATCTATCTATCTATCTATCTATCTATCTATCTATCTATCTATCTATCTATCTATCTATCTATCTATCTATCTATCTATCTATCTATCTATCTATCTATCTATCTATCTATCTATCTATCTATCTATCTATCTATCTATCTATCTATCTATCTATCTATCTATCTATCTATTATCTATCTATCTATCTATCTATCTATCTATCTATCTATCTATCTATCTATCTATCTATCTATCTATCTATCTATCTATCTATCTATCTATCTATCTATCTATCTATCTATCTATCTATCTATCTATCTATCTATCTATCTATCTATCTATCTATCTATCTATCTATCTATCTATCTATCTATCTATCTATCTATCTATCTATCTATCTATCTATCTATCTATCTATCTATCTATCTATCTATCTATCTATCTATCTATCTATCTATTCTATCTAGCTATGCTATCTATCTATCTATCTTCTATCTATCTAATCTATCTATCTATCTATCTATCATTCTCATCTATCTATTATCTATCTTCTATCTATCTATCTATCTTCTATCTATCTCGCTCTCTATCTATCTATCTATCATTATCTAGCTAATCTATCTATCATCTATCTATCGATCTATCTAATCTATCTATCTATCTTATCTATCTATCTTCTATCGATCTATCTATCTATCTATCTATCTATCCTATCTATCTATCTATTTATCTATCTATTTATCTATTTATCTATCTATTTATCTATCTATCTATCTATCTATCTATTAACCCTCAAATATTAAAGATTCATCAAATTTCACATTTAGTTAACATTACACTGTTTTGAAGAGATATTCCAGGGGTATTACTTTGGTTGAATTACACTTTCTGATATGGCAACTCTTTCTATCTTACTCTCAATTCGCCTTTTTTTCCTTTCGTTTTAAATATGTACATAAGAAATTCCGAGACCGATGTTATTTTTTTCTTTTATATATTAACCAACTCCCTATATACGATTTTTTCTATATTATAACATTTTCTATGAATTAAAACAATATTTGTTTTATTATAAACCAATTGCAAACATTTGTTTAGTGTTTGAATTTCACACAATTTCACATTCCCCTCAGCATTTTAGTAAAGAAAACTCCAATGAAATACAGGAATTCTTTTCCAATTCACACTTTTTTTACTTTTTTCTTTTTGCTAGGCTTTTGTGTATAAGAATTTTTTTCTTGTGCTTTTTTCCACAAAGATTTTTTGCAATTTTTTAGCTGCTGTTTTTTAAGTAGATTTTTTTTTTGTTATAGATATTTTGGGTTTTTTAAATTTATTTACTTTTTTTAATTATTGTAGCACTATTAGCATATTGAGATTGTTAAATAAAAATGTAAAAAATAAGGGATATTTTTGTATTATATATATACGATATTAGATTTTTGCATGATTTTTTTCTTTTTCACTTTCACTACACGGACTTTTGCACAGAAGGACGACAGAATTACATTTGTTTGTTAGCTGCCAAGGCGAATTAATGGATGGTGGTGTCATTTGAACAGCTGATGGTGTAATTGTTCCTGAAAATATATAGCACTACTGTCAAACTCCTCGTATATGGAAGAATTTTTTTCGTAACTGATACTGTCAAAGTCTATATATAAAAAAGATAATGAATTTTCCACTTAACCTTGTTTATATTCGCCTTAGTTGGCTGTTATTGCTTCAGACTGCTTTGCCAACTAAATTTCACTTCAACGCCTTTGAACTCTAAAAATTAAGACTGACAGGTTCACAACTGTTATCCTGTTATAAAAAGGATATGTATATTTAAAAAGTAATACTTAAGTTTATTTATTTTTAAAAATTTTGCAAAAAAGTAAAAACCTATATTAATGGTTTTAAGCTTAAAAAAAATTCTGTTTAGGGATTTGTTTTGGAATATTTAACGGCGGCCGGATTACGGCGTAGGTCACACTAAACTTGGTTTTTAAATTCGGATTTGTATCAATGTTTTTTCTATAGAAAATTATATTTTTTTAAACATTTTAATAAGAGATTGAATTTTCTATTTAATAGGTTTTAGTAGTTATATTAAAAACAACTCTTTTTGGCATTAAAGAAAAGTCGTTAAATCTGGTAATATAAATGGCAACACTACCCTTTGTTTTTTGGGTTATTCGCCGCAAATTCAAAGAGAGTGATAACTGGAACAGAGTTGAATTTTTTAAGTTACAATTAGAATTTTATTAAGTTTCAACAATTTATAAATTAAAACTTCTATGGATTTCAGTTTTTTAAAAAAAAGATTTTATTTTTTATGAATTTTTATATTATAATAAAGCCACTTAAAATTGTGGAATGATTTTTTTTCTTTTAAAACAGAAAATTCTAATGCTTTATACAAAGCAACAAATTTTCTTTAATTTATATATAAAAAATGGTTATTAACTTAATATATGCATTTAGGATTAAACTAAAAATTATGGAAGATTGTAACATTAACAGCCTAGAGAAAGAGAATTCATTGAAACATCAATGAAACTTAACTTTCAAACAGCGGTAATGAACAACCGACCGACCCATTCATGATGACGTCGACAAAGTTGAATGAATGAAGAATAAAATTGGGTTACGTTCGATACACGAAAGACGACAACAATATCAACACACACGGAGTTGAAGGTAACAAAATTTCATTGCACACGTCATGTACGTCATTTAAGAGCGGTTGTATTTGCCCCAGATGTGCAACATGAAAACGGAGGCAATGAACAAAAGAGACATTACCAAAACGGGGACAGGACCTCTGTAATAAAGAACGAAAAATCAAACACTTGTTCGAGTTATAAACAATAACAAAATACATACACTTTGATGCCGGGAGAATCATCGGTATAGAAACGCCACATGCCACCAGTACCTGCGCCACCGGTAGTACGGCTACGTGCAGCAGTGGTGCTGCTGGTGGTTTTACGTTGTTTTAAATTGCTGCCTCCAGCACCAGCGCTACGTGGTGCTGACAATTTGCTGGGCGAGCGGGTGCCACTGCCCACTGAGGTTGAACTAGCTGGTGCAGGCTGGAAAATATTTAAAAGTTGTTTGTTTTTAATTTAAATCACCTAATTTGTAAATTATTTTTCTTTCAAAAATTTCACTTTTTTCACGTTTCTATTTACCATTGTTTTGTTTTTCTATGATTTCAATATTGTTACACGTACAAAACACAAATGATTTCAAACGAAAGTTGTGAATGCAAGAAAATGTCAGTTTTCGTTTCTTTTCGTCTATTATTTTTATTCGTTCATTCCACGTATGCCAGTGAAGTTGGCTGCAGTTAACGAGATGAAAACAAACTGTTGCATTTTTAAGCAGAGTTGTATTTTCAATAGACAGCAAGTGGTGAAATGAGAAATTACCGTTATCATTGAGAAAAATTGGGAATTTTAAAAAAATTTACAAATTTACATCGATTTTTGTAAAAATAGAAATTACTTTAGTATAAAATTTCAAAAATAAAAACAAAACTATTTGAAATAAGCGAATTTTTAACTTAAATTGGCAGTCATTAACCAATTCAAGCATTCTTGCTGGAATTAAAGTTTAAAACAAGTTTAATTCCAGTCAAACATTCAAATTTCAAGTGTTTAAATACACTTTAATTCAATAGAATTCTCCAGTGAAAACGAAACTTGAATTCAAGTCGAACATTCAATGCAAGAAATCTATATACATACATATATAAAATTCTAACGTTACTGACAGACTGACTGACTGATTCATCATCGTAGAGCCTAAACGGTTGAAGCTAAAGAGCTGAAATTTGGGCAGGAGGTTGGTCTCCCACCAAATGTATCCAATAAGACAGGATTTATGGAAATTCGAATTTTTTGGGGGTTAAAAAAGGCTAAAAACGTAGATTCGGTAACCTCAAATCCCCTAAACTAGAAAAGTTACAAAAACAGTTAAAGCTTATCGTCGTTCATTTAAAAAAAAGCGGACAGGTTTCCGGTATTCGGCCCCTTTGGGGAATAAACGATTAAAAACTGTAATTTGGTACTTCTTTTGCACCCCATGTATCTTTTAAACCAGAGAATTTTCTTAATGCAAAATTTTTTAGAAACTGATTTTCTGCAAGATGTTTTATATATATTATCGGCAGATCCTCGTAAAACTTGGAGAAAGGTTTTGTTATTAATTTTTAAGAATTTTTTATTCATCCCTGCATAATTTCTCACACAATTTTTGAGCTTGCTCTGTTTTGTTGTTATAAACAATATATTTGCTTCCAAAATCCCACTTTCTGATCTCTCGGATTCCGTTTCTATTTAAAATCGTTGAAAATTTAAAAACTAAACGTAGTTGAAAACTTAGCCAGCTTACAGTGGTGTCAGTCGCCGCCGCCGTTAATATTTGTCGGCGCAGGGCTCTAGTGACAACTTGTTTGTCAAAGTGTAAAATGGAAGAAAAAGATAAATTTAAGCGGCAATCAGCAGCGTTTCAAATTTTGTGAGTAAAAATCTAAGAATTTTATTTATTAGTAATAAAAACATTGTAAATAATTTAATTTTAATAAGACTACACTACAGATTGGATTACAAACTGGACTGACCTAGAATTGATGTAGAAATAAACTAGAACTCAACTAGAACTGAACTAAAACTGAGTTGGAACTGAATTAAAACACAACTAGAACCTACTAGGACTGAACTCAACTAGAACCCAACTAGAACTGAACTTGAACTTAAGTAGAACTCAACTGGAACTCAACTAGATCTCGACTACAACTGAACTAGTATTGAACTAGAACTCAACTACAAATGAACTTATATTTGACTAAAACTGTACTAGAACTGAATTAGAACTCAACTAGAACCCAACTAAAACACAACTAGAACTGAACTAGAACACAACTAGAACTGAACTACAACCCAACTAGAACACAGCTAGAACTCAACTGGAACTCAACTGGAACTCAACTGGAACTCAACTAGAACTCAACTACAACCCAACTGAACTAGAACTAAACTAGAACTAAACTAGAACTGAACTAGAACTGTACTAGAACTGAACTAGAACTGAACTAGAACTGAACTAGAACTGAACTAGAACTGAACTAGAACTGAACTAGAACTGAACTAGAACTGAACTAGAACTGAACTAGAACTGAACTAGAATTGAACTAGAACTGAACTAGAACTGAACTAGAACTGAACTAGAACTGAACTAGAAATGAACTGGAACTGAACTAGAACTGAACTAGAACTGAACTAGAACTGAACTAGAACTGAACTAGAACTGAACTAGAACTGAACTAGCAATGAACTAGAACTGAACTAGAACTGAACTAGAACTGTACTACAACTGAACTACAACTATACTAGAATTAAACATGAACTAATTAAGAACTGGGCTATAATTTGAACAAGAACTTATTTACGACTGAACTAAAAATGAATATACATTTAATTTTTTTATTTATTTATTTATTTTTATTTATTATATATCATTTTACTTTTCTTTAAATTTACTACAAATTATTTCAAAATTTTAACACAATGAAATTTTTTAAAAAACAGTTAATAATGTGGATAAAATTGAATTTAATGTTAAACATTAAATTATTTAAATTAAAAACTCTATTGTAAATGTATAAACTTTTTTCAAATTTTTTTTCCTACTTTTTTAGCGACAAAATAAATTATTTTGTTATAAACTAGTATTAATTTAAAAAGAAAATTTAAAGTGAATTGTGTACTAAAAATTGTTAATATTTAATGGATTTTAAAAGAAAATTAAATATTTAATAACTTTTTTTGTAGAGTATAGTTTTTCTTTTAAATATTTCATAGATTACATGTGTGTTAACGGCTTTAACTTTTCTATAATTTTAGAATTATAAGTGTTTATTTTTTGTTTATATAACTTTTTGCCTTTTCTTTAAAGAATTAAATTAAGTAAATTATAAAATATTAAGAGAAAAATTAAAGAAAAATCTAAATATTGTTTTTATGTTTAAATAGAAGTTATAAGTGTGTGTGTTCTATTTAATATTTTATTTAAGTTGTTATTATATATTTGTTATTATATTTTTTTAATAAAATTTTAAAGTTTATCTTTTTTCCTTTTCGGCGTTAAGCTCCAGATTTTGGGTAGATGTTGCAGTTGTTGCGGTTTGCTCTTTTGCTTCTAAGGGTTTAGAGGATTTACTCGAATCGGTTGATTGTCAATTTTCCGCTGACATATTGCCAATATCATCGTTAATGTTTAAAACTTGAGTAATGAAATCTTGATCCATTACTGCCTCGGCTAAAGAGCCTAAAAGTTGGGTGAGCTCCTTCAAAGGCATATTCATCTGCGGTGACAATTTCTCCAAATGTTGTTGTACCTGATCGGGTAACTAAAAAGGAAAATATAAAGAGTAAAGGTAAGTTTTTTTTTCAATTTTTAGAATTATTTTTAAGAAATTTTTACCTTATTGGGATTTTTGAATATGTTAAACATAAATTTAACCTTGACCCTTTGTTCCATATTATTGCCCTCATAGAAGAGAGTAAAATGAGCTTCATTTGCATTCTGTAAGACGGGCAAATAGATACCAGCCAATACTCTGCCCTTGGCATCGCGTGATAGTAAAGATCTAAAGTTATAAACCAAATTACGTCTAACCGTTACATCGACGGCGGTGACATAGGGCTGATCTACATATACCAATGATGTTTTATAGGTAGCTTGATCTCCTCTTATTTCACGCTCTTTCCATTCGACATATTTATGATTCTGCTGGCTATAAACATAGCAATAATCACGCTGCAAATGTTGTTCCTTGGATTGGGTGAACCAGCCTATAAAAACAAACAAACCAATATTATATGGATATCAGACTAAACTATAGACTGGACCACAGACTAGAATTTATACTATACTAGACTTGAACTGAACTAGAACTGAACTAGAACTGAACTAGAACTGAACTAGAACTGAACTAGAACTGAACTAGAACTGAACTAGAACTGAACTAGAACTGAACTAGAACTGAACTAGAACTGAACTAGAACTGAACTAGAACTGAACTAGAACTGAACTAGAACTGAACTAGAACTGAACTAGAACTGAACTAGAACTGAACTAGAACTGAACTAGAACTGAACTAGAACTCAACTAGAACTCAACTAGAACTAGAACTGAACTAGAACTGAACTAGAACTGAACTAGAACTGAACTAGAACTAAACTAGAACTGAACTAGAACTGAACTAGAACTGAACTAGAACTGAACTAGAACTAAACTAGAACTAAACTAGAACTGAACTAGAACTGAACTAGAACTGAACTAGAACTGAACTAGAACTGAACTAGAACTGAACTAGAACTGAACTAGAACTGAACTAGAACTGAACTAGAACTAGAACTGAACTAGAACTGAACTAGAACTGAACTAGAACTGAACTAGAACTGAACTAAAACTGAACTAGATCTGAACTATAAACTAGACTATACACTAAGCTATAGACTAGATTGTAGTTAGAAAATCATATCAATCTAGGATTTTTTCTAACTAAATGACAACTCACCTGTATGAGGATACATTTGATCCTCCATTACGGTTACACAACGGGCTACATGATAACCCGGATCCAAGATAATAACACCATTACGTCCGGCTATATTCAATTTCATAGCCACCATAGCATGTTCCTTTTCCACATTAGCCAAGGGAGAATTAAGACCGCCCAACTCTTCACTCGTCTCGATATAATCTCTTAACGATATAACCTGCTCCTCGCACGATACAATATACAAATAATGTTCCAAAATAGGGAAAATTTCCACAATACGTGACATTATTTCCATGGCCAAAGAACACACATATGATGACGGCGATTTATGGGTATATCGTAGAATTGATAGAACGATTTCAAGTCGGAGCGACGGGTACGTTTGAAGGCCTTATAGAAATCCACAAACAAATGTACCGTATCGTAGTGTGTCTCCTCTAGCATGGGCTGTAGTTTACTTTCGATTATAGCGCTAAGATCTTCAAATTGCCAAACAGAATCCAAATGCAAAATACCCTTCTGATGATCCTCTTCGTCGTAGGCCAACCAATCGGGCAAAGGCAAGGGATGACCCAAAGGCCAATTGCCATTGGTTTGATTGAACGCTGACATATTATAGCCATCACCCTGCCACAAGCGGCCGCATACATCCTCAGCATTAGGAGTGCTACCCCTAAATAATCTACCCCACCATCTGCGATGTTGCTCTTCCAACAACTTGTTGACGCTAATGCAACGTTCCGATGAGGGATTTGATGTCAAATTGATGTCTTTTGGCTCAGCCACCTTAACAGTTTCAGTGTTAAGTTGTTCCTTGCCAGCCCCACCAAAAGCCAAGTCGTTATCATCTTCATCATCATCCTCATAATCATCATCATCATCGTCATCATCGGTTGTGCTGTCATTGTTATTTTGCAATTGACCATTGCTGCATAGTTTGCCGGCAGCATCAATGCAATGCAATATTTTCGGTTTATCTTGTTCAGAATCGGTGGCTGTAGTCAATCCAACCCGTACCGATCCCGCCGATAAACCATGGTTGGCGCCAACGGCGGTGGCGCCTTGGTGATGTGACACTGCTTCGGCGAGTCAACTTGGCCATTCAGCGCCCCAACGGCCAACCGTTGGCACATAGCCGGTTTCGCAATCATTGATAGAAGTTTCTAGATTAATTTTGCCCGTTGATGCGTTAAGTAATGGAATAGAAGTTGTTGTTGTTGTCGTCGTTGGTGCAGCTGTATTAGCAGCTGCAATGCCGCTTATAAAATGCAGACTATTCCGGCCCTGTGCTCTTATCAACAGGTCCGGCTCGTCTCCAAAACTCAATGGTTGTTTAGATAGCTCTGTTTGGGGAAGAGAGAAAACAGTTTGGTAAGATTTTTGTTAAAAAAAAATTAAGAAGATTTTGGTAAAATGAGTCTTGGATGTTAAGATCTAAAATGCTTAAGGTGCTTTAAAAAGTGCCCTTTCCACTTAAAATTAACATTTCCTTTAATAAGACAGCCATTCTAGTTTTTTTAACGTTTATTAGTGTTTAATGCAACTCTGAGACATTTGCCATACTTCCGTTAAGAGAGTCTGTCATGTGGGAAGTTGCCACGTTATATTTTAAAATCGTTAAATAACGGATAATAAAAACAGATGTCACGTGCTTCGGATTATCTTACTTCTAAAATATTGTAAAGATTTTCTTTAATTTTTTAACATGAATAACTTTCAGATTAATATCGTTGCGGTTAAAAATTTTTTAGTTGAGTTGCTACATTTATGTAGCTCCCTGCAGGGTCTAAATATGACACTTTGAATTATACATTCTACAGATAGAATATACTATAGTCAGGACTAAAGAATAATCTACAGTATGGAATAAATATTAGACAATATTACAATAGAATAGACTACAATCTGAACTATAGAATAGACTACAGTCTGGACGACATAATAGACTATACTCTGGACTATAGAGTGGATTATAGTCTGGACTATACAGTAGACTATTGTCTTGACTATAGAATAGACCACAGAACAGACTATAGTCGGGACTATAGAATAGGCTATAGTCTGGACTATAGAATAGACTATAGTCTGGACTATAGAATAGACTATAGTTCGGACTATAGAGTAGACTATTGTCTGGACTATAGAATAGTCTATAGTCTGGACTATAGAATAGTCTATAGTCTGGACTATAGAATAGTCAATAGTCTGGACTATAGAATAGTCTATAGTCTGGACTATAGAATAGTCTATAGTATGAACTGGAGCATAGTCTAATAGTTTGGACTATAGCATAGTCTGGACTATAGAGTATACTATAGTCTGGACTTTAGCATAGACTATAGTCTGGACTATAGAATATACTATAGTCTGGACTATAGAATATACTATAGTCTGGACTATAGAATATACTATAGTCTGGACTATAGAATAGACTATAGTTTGGACTATGGATTAAACTATAGAGTAGACTATTGTCTGGACTATAGAATAGACTATTGTCTGGACTATAGAATATACTATAGTTCGGACTATAGAGTGGACTATTGTCTGGAATATAGAATAGACTATAGTCTGGACTTTAGAATAGAATATAGTCTGGACTATAGAATAAACTATAGTCTGGACTATAGAATAGGCTATTGTCTGGACTATAAAATAAACTATAGTTCGGACTATAGAGTAGACTATAGACTGGACTATAGAATAGACTATAAATAGAATAGTCTATAGTCTGGACTATAGAATAAACTATAGAGTAGACTATTGTCTGGACTATAGAATAGACTATTGTTCGGACTATAGAGTAGATTGTCTGGAATATAGAATAGACTATAGTCTGGACTTTAGAATAGAATACAGTCTGTACTACAGAATAGACTATAGTCTGGACTATACTCTGGACTATAGAATAGACTATAATCTGGGCTATAGAATAGGTTATAGTCTGGACTATAGAATAAACTATAGTTCGGACTATAGAGTAGACTATAGTCTGGACTATAGAATAGACTATAAATAGAATAGTCTATAGTCTGGACTATAGAGTAGTCTATAGTCTGGACTATAGAGTAGTCTATAGTCTGGACTATAGAATACTCTATAGTCTGGACTATAGAAAAGTCTGCAGTCTGGACTATAGTCTAGTCTAGACTATAGAATATACTAAAGCCTGGTGTGTAGAATAGTCTATAGTCTGGACTATATAATAATATATAGACCGTGTTATAGTAGAGTTTAAGGTCGGGACGATTGTGTTTTTTTTTTTTTTTTTAATTTTTACATTACACCCCCATTCGTTTACTCAATGACGTTTTTCTCTCTCCTCCTCCTCTCCCATCCCCCTCTTTTCATATGATTCATTTAATCTATAGATGTTTTATTTCTTTGTTATTGTTATTACTTTTTAGTATGAAAAAAAGACATGTGATCATTAAGTGTTTTCTTACTAATAATGTGTAAAACCCAAGAGCAAAAAAATTTAAATGTAATCTAAAACACAATGACGCATTTCAAAGTAATGACGTCTAAAGAAATTTGAGTTTAATAAAATTGACATTATAAAAAAAAATTTGAACTCTTTAAAGGGTTTAAATAGCTTAAATAAAAAACAATCTGGCAGCTTTAAAAAGAAGATATGGTGGCTTAATAAATGTAGTTTGAGGGAGGTATTTAAAAAGGATAATTTGTTAAGAAGTAATTAAGAAATTAAAAGTAAATAGAGTGATAGAGAGCAAGAGAGTTCCGTTATAGAGAAAGTAAATGAGTATTTCGAACGGAAGTGGCCATTATTGTTTACATTTTGAGTGAAACGTTAACCTAAAAAAAAAATTGAGTTAGAAACTAGATAAGATGGGAAAGTACTATAAAATTTAGTTCTTAACTAATCTTTAGATAATTTTAAGCGATTTAATTAGTTAGTAACACAAATTATTATATAATTATAAAAATTAAAAACTATTTCTAAGAATTTCAAGGTGTGTTTTTAAGTGAGGGGGGGAAATGTATAACATTACAAACTTACCCATACAACGGCCAAAGCCCCAATATCCAATTATCTCGTTGGTTGTTTTCAATTGTTAAGCAGCACAAGTTCTCTTTTTATTTTCTGTTTTTCTTTACAAATGTCTGTCGTTCGGTCTTGTCTGCCTAGTGTTTTACGTTTATAATATAAACTCAAAATTCAAGTATTTTTGCGTTTTATTTTTCAATGCAATTTGTTGAATTTTCACAAATTTATTTAGTTGTCTTTCTTTGTTTTTGCTTTAAATTTTATTATAAAAAGTCTTTTTTGTTGTTTGTGTATTTGGTTAATTAATAGATTTTCTATTAATTTTATAATTTAAAGGTTGTTTCTTGCACTTTTCTTGCCTGTTTAAATCAGGTCTGGTAAACGTAATATTGGTGAATTATTCGACATCGAAATTGTTGTTAGAAAAGCTCTGGTGGCTTGCACTAACATTTAGTTTTTATTTTTTCAAAAAAGAAATAAATTAAAATTATAAATTAAATACTAGGATTCTTGTTAAAGATCCTTTTTTACTTCCTTTCCGTTATACACTGTTTTATTTATTTTTAATAAGTTAAATGATCAAGAGTCAATTAACGACTGAGTGTTTTGTGTTTCCACATAGACCTTAATAATGTTTTAAGCTATATATACACAAAATTTTTATTCGCTCAGTCACTCACAATCATTCGGTTTTTTTACGATCTTCTATCAGTTTAGGTTTAGTATTGTTTGTTTTGGTGAAAAATTAGCACTCTTTGCACCACAAAATAATGTAAACAATACAAGCAATTTCACCATTTATAAGGTTTGTTATTGTTTTGTATTTGGGCTCTCTTTATTTATTTGCTAGAGAGTGAGTAAAACAGTTTTTCTTAGCGGGTTAATCAGCAAGATCTGTAATATTAAACTTGTTTGTTTGTTTGTTAAAAACTTTATTAATTTGTTTTATATTTTATTAATTTTTAATTCTTTTATATTACTTTATCTACAGCTGTAAAAGTTCTGGTTTAATTCTTATCAGTTTTTCATAAAAATTTGTTTAATTGTTATTACTTTTTTTCTTTACTTAGTATTTGTTTTGAAATTTCCATAAACGTCTCGTTTTCTTACCCCAAAACCCCTCACGCACCGTCTCACTCGTATAAAACACTAAAAAGACAACAAATGAGTACAAAAGAATTAATAATATGTAAATATTTTTTTTTATTATAAATTTAATATAGGATCTATTAAAATAAACTACACAAGATTACATAGACCAACAGCAGTATTAACTAATGGAAATTTTTCTTAAAACAACAACAAAAAATTCCATTTAATTTAACTTTAAATTATATATAGCCCGGACTGTAGAATAGATTATAGTCTGGACTAAAGAATAGATTATAGTCTGGACTATAGAATAGACTGTAGTCTGGTCTTTAGAATAGACTATAGTCTAGACTATAGCCTGGACTAAAGAATTGACTATAGTCTGGACTATAGAATAGAGTATGGACTATAGTCTGGACTATAGAATACACTATAGTCTGGACTGTAGTCTGGACTATAGAATAGACTATAGGCTGGACTGTAGTCTGGACTATAGAATAGACTATAGTCTGGACTGTAGTCTGGACTATAGAATAGACTATAGTCTGGACTACAGTCTGTACTATAGAATATACTATAGTCTGGACTATAGAATACATTACAGTCTGGACTGTATTCTGGACTATAGAATAGAATATAGTCTGGACTATAGAACAGTCTATAGTCTGGACTATAGAACAGTCTATAGTCTGGACTATAGAACAGTCTATAGTCTGGACTATAGAACAGTCTATAGTCTGGACTATAGAACAGTCTATAGTTTGGACTATAGAACAGTCTAAAGTCTGGACTATAGAACAGTCTATAGACTGGACTACAGTACAGTCTATAGTCTGGACTATAGAACAGTCTATAGTCTGGACTATAGAACAGTCTATAGTCTGGACTATAGAACAGTCTGGACTATAGAACAGTCTATAGTCTGGACTATAGAACAGTCTATAGTCTGGACTATAGAACAGTCTATAGTCTGGACTATAGAACAGTC